TCCGTCGCTGATCCGTCGCTGATAGCATTACCTACGACTAATTGATCGACGGAGTATCAGCGACGGATCAGCGACGGATTGACTTTCAGCGACGGATTTGCGAGGGATTTTTCCGTCGCTGATAGTCTGCATTTTTGTAGTGTATGGATTTAATAGCGTAAGGTTTATCCATTTTTACTTTTTCTTTTGAATTTTTTTAATATTATTAAGTAATAATAAATAAATAAATAAATATATATATATATATATATACACATATACATATGGTTGAGTTCACGTAAGACCAAAGATTTTTCGTGAGACCCGTAAGACCAATTAATGTTCATTGATCAAATTTATAAACTAATGATCTAATGATTTAAAGTTGCAAGATGACAATTTTGTAATTATTGGGAAGTCTCGTGGCGTTTATGAATGTTTAGATCTGACGATTATAAATCTAATCAAAGAGTTGAGAATTGGTCTTACGGGTCTCATGAAAAACCATTGGTCTCACATGATCCCAAGTCTACATATATATATATATATATATATATATATATATATACACACACACACACACACGAATATGTATGTCGTCAATGTCTAGACTCCTTAAGTTTGAGACACATTTAATACTCCGTCACATCATACCTCATGCTATTTAACATACGAGACAAATTATGTCTAAGGGGCCGTTTACTAAACACTTACCCGGTAAGCACTTACCGATAGGGGTCAGCACTATGATTTATTTTGGTACGTAAGATTTTAGTATATTAAAACATATCGAATGCAAAAATTTAATGGGTAAGAGTCGTTATCCTTACTTACCGAGTAAGACTATCCTATCATTTTCATCGCTCTTACCCAGTTTAATTATTGACCATTCTCATGTTCATCTAATGAGGAAATTTATCCGATAAGTACTTACCAGTTACCAAGTAAGTGTTTAGTAAACGGTCTCTAAGACATCTATGCTCCAAATTAATTTAAAGGACTTTTATTAAATTGGCCCTTTAATGTGCTTAATACAAATTTTTGAATATTTCATCTATTTCCCTTTTAACTTTAATTCAAAGAAATGCTTTTAGTAAAACCACGAATCTAAATATTCGAAAATACAGTTAACATACAAAACTAATTTGTCAACAAAGCGGCAAAAACAAAGAACCGGTCAACAAATTGGGTCTAACAGGATTTGATAGGTCAACTAGCTAGAGTCTAGGTTCGACTTAAATTGATAGTTTTTCGAATCAGACCCTAATATAAAATAGATGGACGAGAACCACGAACGTATTAAAACCGGACCCACTGTTATCACAATATCGTAACCAAAGAAAAGATCGATAAAATAAAAAGAAAGACAAAATAATGTTGGATTACAGTTTTGGGCATGAAAGGGAAATATATGAAATGGTGTATAGGCGTGCAAATTGCATGGATTTGTAGCGTAAACATGCAGGTTCACATAACCAGGTCCCCCCGCGTGCCAACACATCACCCCAACATAACAGACCCAACTCATCTTACCATTTTTTATATATATATATATATCTTTTTATTCTTTTAATAACCAATTAATTCATGTGGTTTATAAGTTTTTAATGTTGATGGGTATTTATATCTTGATCTGTTGTTAAGTTAATTAAGCATTTTTATAAATTTTGTGTAAAATCAAATATTGTAACTTTTTTTAATAAAAAACTGGTATTTCTTATGTATTGTAATCTATAAATATTTGAACGGTTTTTAAATTGAAACAGATAAAATGTATTAATGACTTTGACTTTCATGGATTCACATTGACTTAGAAATACAACTGATTTGATGCAAAAAAAAAACACTATATATGGTTTTGGGTTTTGATCTAGATCTTTGTTTCCAACCAGATTATTGGCGTGCATGCGTTGGTTGATTTAATTAGCGCTAATTATAAACGAAAATACGTGGATTCAGTATTTACTATATGGTAGGTATAATTAATACAAAACCGATATTACATCCATATTTTGATTAAGATTTATAATTTAGATGTAGTTATGAGTTATGAATTGAAATTAATGAAAATTAGAGGGAAATATAATAAAAGTAAGTAGTGGAATATGTAGAAAAGAAGAGAGTAACAGAAAGAACATATGGGGAGAAGTGAAAGAGAAGCACATAAAGCAAGCAGGCAACTTTGAGACCCAGAATCAAGTGTAATTCTCCTCTATCTACATACCATGCATACCCCCTAAAGTAAAGAATATTTATATAATATATATATATATATCACACCAACAATATCACTACCCAACAAGCTTCGTTTAAACGAGAACTGATTAATTTGTGATAATCGTAAAATCTAATGTGAAGCATTTTTTTGAGATATTTAAGGATATTTATTAAATAAGCTAAAGGGGTATAATATAGTAATTCTATTTTTGACGACTAATCAAAATATTTAATTATTTTTTAGAAGGAAATATTTAATTAAAGTTAGTTACCTAGTATATCAATTACTTAATATAAATCGTATTTTAAAGACATTTGTAAATCAAAATGTATCATAGTGATAATGTTCATAATGTTTCATGTGTATCACAATGTTTTCTATTTGTTTTATGAAATGTATCATAGTGTGCATTTTCGTTATTTTCATTGTTTTACAAAGGATATCACATTATGCATTTTGTATTTATATCTGGATATCACAGTGTGAATCTTATGTTCACATAAGGTTTGTCGGAATAAAGTTCGCCAGAGAGATGAGAGAGGATATTTATAAAATCTCTAAAATGCTCTTAATTAATATTTTAAGTTATAATTAACAAAATTGTTAATTTCCTAATCTAGCTAGCATTTAATTTGTGGTTGCGATTGGATCTCACGATTATCACAAATAAAACAGTTCTTATTTAATAATTTATGCTTGAGATTGAATCTCACGGTTATCAAACATATATATATATGTGTGTGTTTTTTTTAATTTACAGATCCGAAAACAACATATAGTTTTTAATTCTAAACTATTTAGTATATCTTAAAACATTAAAATTCAAAACTAAAGTTTTATTTGTTGGTTTTGAGACCTAAACATTTATCAAATCTGTGTTTCATTTAATGTCCATTCTTGTGCTTAGGTTTCATTAATTACTTAAGTCGACAAGATTTATTATTTTATTAAAGTTTTTTGAGTAATAAGTAATTTATTAATTAATTAATATCAAAATACATCACAAATAAACATGAAAATAAAGTTTTCAAGTGGTAAAAAAAGGAAAAGTTGCAGTCTTTGTATTGAAGACTGGAAACACTTGTCTCTCTCTCTACTCAATTTTTTTTCCCTCAAAAATTGCATGTCTTGATCACAACCCCAATATTTATTTACAAACCCCACATGCTTAAACTCTAAAAAACTCAAAAACCCTCCATTTTTTGTGCTCAAATCATCAATATTTGAGCTATTTAATTAAGCTTGTTGCCTTGAAGTTGTTGTTGTCAGAAAGCATAGAAATCAAGGTATAGAATTAGAATAGAAACTTGAGAGAGAGAGAGAGAGAGTGGGACTTTAATATCTCCAATCCATCTTTTGAAGCTTTGAAAATGGTGTTGGAGTGAGTTGGGAAGCTCGTTTGGAATGGCTGGTGTTCATTGGAAGAAAACAAGAGAAATTTGTTTTTGTTTTGGTTTCAGAAGAAGACAAGAATTAGAAGAAGAAGAAGAGGAAGGCAAATGTAGAAGACAACAAACAGAAACAGAAACGGATTTAGATTTGTTTGGAAGAACAACACAAGTACATGATACTACGATGGATTTCAGTTTTAATTTTCAGATTCTTCCAATCATTTCCACCTTTGTTTTCTTCCTTTTGTTGTTTTCCACTTTTTTTCCGGCCGTCTCAGCCGCACCATTCGAAGATTTCCGGCGACTGAATCAAACTTTCCGGCCAGGTGAAGAGTCAAAGAAGATGAGATTGATCAGAACCCATCTCATGAAAATCAACAAACCTTCTGTTAAATCAATTCAGGTATATATATACCTAGATGATTTCCATAAACACCCATCTTCCCATTTATGCCATTTTCTTCTAATCTTCAACTAATTTTGTTGCAGAGTCCAGATGGGGATGTAATGGAGTGTGTTTTGACTCATCAGCAGCCAGCTTTTGATCATCCTGAGCTGAAAGGAACAAAGCCATTGGTGGGTGTTCATGCTTTGTTCTTGAAGTATTCACAAAATTATCATCACCTAGTTTTCCTTTAAATAGATTTTATTATTCTCTTAATAATCAGGACCCACCGGAGAGACCAAATGGATATAATCATGCCGGAATGGAATCGGAAAACTATCAGCTATGGAGTTTATCCGGCGAATCTTGTCCGGAGGGAACAATTCCGATCAGAAGAACAACCGAACAAGATGTTTTACGAGCAAATTCTCTCCAAAGATTCGGTAGAAAAATTCCAAAACCAATTAGAAGAGATTCTTCTAACGGTGGTCACGAAGTAAGTCGTCTTCCAAATTCCCTTTTTTTTAATTTAAATTTAAACTATAAATCACTGGTTTCATCATGGCCGGTACCATGTCTAATTGGCATGTTATATTTTCAAATCAAAAAGTAGGAGAATTTAAGGTAGCTGTTCTCAGATTTTAAGGATTTCTAAAATCACATAACCATCGGAGATGCTCAAATTTAAACTCCATTAATGGATGAACTGAAAGTGGGATTAAAATGGACAGCATGCAGTTGGGTATGTCAGTGGAGAAGAATACTATGGAGCAAAAGCAAGCATAAATGTTTGGGATCCGAAGGTGACGGATCGATTCGAGTTCAGTCTGTCGCAAATGTGGGTCATATCGGGTTCTTTCGGTGACGATCTTAACACCATCGAAGCCGGGTGGCAGGTATTTTCTCGTTAAAATCGCAACATTTTCTATAACAAAATCAAACATCGTATTTTATCTAAGACTTTGCAAAGGATGATCCTACGCCAAACGAAAACACGTAATGTCTGTGTTCAATACGATGTTAAACATGGTTTTTTTTGGGTATTTCTTACTTATGTTTTTCAACAGGTTAGTCCAGAGCTATATGGGGACAACTATCCTAGATTCTTCACTTATTGGACTGTAAGTTTTTATTTTTCTTTTTTTTTTGTTATAATAATATATGGTGAAATAATTTGGTTATTAATTCATTTTAAAATTAATAAACTGTAGACCGATGCATATCAAGCAACGGGATGCTACAATCTGCTATGTTCGGGTTTCGTTCAGACAAACAATAGGATTGCTATTGGAGCTGCTATATCTCCAACCTCATCGTATAATGGTGGACAATTCGATATTAGTTTATTGATATGGAAGGTAGATATTTAATCTCTTAATTACTGTATAGAATACTTTAAAGAAAACCGTTTTTTAAATAGAAATTTGAAAATAAATAAAAGACATATAGTATGCATTAAAAGTTAAAACAAAGAGTTTATAATAACATTTAAAATCAAAGGGCTTTTAGCTTCGTGGTATCGTAGTCTTTGGTTTCTTAGGAGGTCAGAAGTTCAATACTAAAAATGGTGTGTTGAAAATGAAGTTTTATTGATGGATATATAAAAAGAAATTTGAAGTTAGAAAAATAATAAAACTTTATTTTAATAAAAAGAAAAAGGGAAAAGAGAGAAGAATGATTTGGTTGGTTTGTGGAGGGGTGAAAGTGTCATCATGTATTTCAAAGTAGTCTTGCCTTCTACAACATGAAGAAATTATTTCTGCATACCTTAAAAAGGCAAGCCTACCATATATATATAAACATAAATATATATATATATATATATATATATTTATTTATTTTGAAATAAAACTGATAAAATATTATTTAATTCGATATAGGATCCGAAGCATGGGAACTGGTGGCTCGAATTCGGATCTGGGGTTCTGGTCGGATACTGGCCAGCCTCTTTATTCACTCACCTTCGAGATCACGCGAGTATGGTACAATTCGGAGGAGAAGTTGTGAATAGTCAAGCCTCGGGTTCTCATACCTCAACAGAAATGGGAAGCGGGCATTTCTCTGGTGAAGGGTTTGGGAAAGCTTCGTATTTTAGGAATATGCAAGTTGTCGATTGGGATAACAGCTTAATCCCACTGTCGAATTTGAAAGTATTAGCTGATAATCCAAACTGCTACGATATTAGAGGTGGGATTAATAGCGTTTGGGGTAATTATATTTATTATGGTGGCCCGGGTAAAAACCCGAGATGTCCCTAAGATGGGTCGGGTTATCCATTGAGTACAAATACATGGGTGAAATTTTTATAGTAAGTTGAATTGTTTTCCTTCGATTGGGTAATCGGGTTTCTTTTTAGGCGGGTTATTCTTTTAATTTTTCGTGTATTTGATCGACTTATAGATTGAGAAAATCATGTACATTAACGATTTTGAGTTTTAAATGGTCGATATATTTTGATTTGGGTGTTATAAAGATTGTCTTTGCGAAAATAACTCACATTTCTAAAATTATGGTTCTAAAAAGCAGCGCCATGTATAGTTATATATTTAGATGGGTTGGGTTTTGGTGGAAAATAAGAGTTAAAGTGAGAAACGTAAAAAGAGATCTCTACCCTTGGAATGCACATTAGAATGAGATGCATCAGATAAATCCACGTATCAAGTATGAGTAGGTTTGAGATTAAAGGTGATCAAGAGTACAGATCTCTTCTTACGCTTTTCACTTTAACTCTCATTTATCACACTATCATTCGCCGTATTTGAATATATGTTATATCCCTATTTAATGCAACTCGATGTCATTGACCAGACTCGGTGTGGGTTGAACCATAACAATTCTATAACATACGTCATTTTGGAACCAAAGCTTAACCGGTCATGAGAAAGGAAAAAACATGACTGAGTTTTATTTGGTTGGGCGTAAACGGTCCTTCATCGGGCCTATCAGTCTTGAGCCTTTTTTAACCGATCTTGAATCGAGCTCAGTTATCGGTTCTCGATATCCTCAAGTATAAGAATAGATGACTATATAAGAAAAGAGCATAACACAATAATATATGACCAAACAAGTGTTAGGCCCATTAAGACACTGAACTTAAATGGATTGGGTTTATTTTTGTGCTATACTTGTTTGAGCTGGCATCCATAATTTGTCTTATTGGCTGTGAAATTAACGTACATATGGATACCTAATATTTTGAAATATTTCAATTTTTATAATTTTTTATTTTATTTAAAAAAAAAATAAGAATAAAAAGTAGTTTTTGAAAATTCATATTATCTATACTATATTATAAAGCATTTGGCTAAAACTCTTAAAAACTCTTAAAACTCTTAAACTCTTAAAACTCTTAAACTCGTTCATCCTTAAACAATTTCATCCTTATCCAATTTCATCCCATAACTGAATTCGTGTAACTAACTGCAGATAAACACAATCAAATACAGGATAAACATCTAATTTTAAATATAAAAAATCTAAAATATAATTAGGATAATCATT